CTTATCCACATAACATCAAATCTTAGGTACAGATAGAATGTAGGTGATTTTTTTTTCTCCTGATGTCAGGTATGGCTATAGAAAGAATAACTTTTGGTTTTTTTTGAAAGACCAAAGGATTTTTTTTGTTTAAATTGGTGTAGTTAAAGATCTGTTAGTATTTTCAGAATGAACTTCAGATGATGATGCCCTAAATTGGGCAAAAGAACGAGAAGCATATTATTTTTCTGTTTGAACATTAGCTGATAGGAAGAACCTTTACAAAGAGGCGCATAGTTGCAAGGCAAACCCTGAATGAAAACGATGTGATCTTCAGGACAGGCAAACTGAAATCCAAGGGAAAAAAAGAAAATGCCTTTTCATGGAAATTCAATATTGCAGGGTAGAAAGAGGCCAAACATGTCTGTAACAGATATCCAGCTAAGAATGTTGAAAGGACGGATCTTAACAGAGCTGAATAAAAAGCCAACATAGGTTGTGTCCTACAAGTATGTCTTACAAGTAGTGTAGGATTGCAATACTAACGTCTGAACAACTTTCAAACCATGCTGAGCTGCTCTTATTGAGAGCCAATTCAAACACGAGGAAAAGATTTATTGACAGCTCTTTTGGAGTTCTGTAAGATCTCAAGGACGGCAACCAGCCATCAAGAACTTTGGATCTAGGAGGAGTATCTGGAGGTGGTGCAGTGAGATCAGTTTTTGGCAGTCCACAGGTCAGAGCAGAGACTTCGCCGGACATCTGTATTAAGTAGACGAGCCAAACCTGGCTTGGACAGTGTGGAACTGTCATGGTGTTGTGGCTCTTTTTCTTTTGGTCTTGGAAATACTTTGGGAACCAAAGTAGTGCAAAGAAAGTGAAGAGGTCTATGCTGCACTAGAGCAGGATCCTGGCCTCAGGCCTCTCATGATAATGGTAAGATCACAAAGCACTTCAGAATCACCACTCTGCAATAAGCTGGTGTAACGGCAACATCAGGAGAGGATGTCTGATTTTGGCAGCATGCATCTGCTCTCCCCAGCTCGTAGCTGTTAACAGTATGCTCCTGCACAGCAATGCTACAAAGGTGCCCAATTGCCAACTAATCCTCATACATTTAAGATGCTCAAGCTGATAGGTCATGCAGGACACTTTAACTAGAGCAGTAAGTCAGATGGATTCTGCACTGGCTATACGGTGGTTAATTCAGTGCCACACAGCTTTTCTCCACAGCCATAGTGTAAGAAACGTCTCCAATACTGGTGTTTTTTTGGATAGAAGAGTAATCCTGAACTCTGACCGCAAACTAGGGCTGCCCTAGTTATACCAGCCTTTGTAGTACAGATGTTGTCTGTTTAATTATTCTATTCTATTGAATAAATAAATTCCTTAAAATCATACATAAAGCCTAAAGAAAATGGAAGAGCTTTTCAGAAAAAGCATTGCAAAAGTTCAATGGACAACCTGAGAGGTTGTTAGCTGCTGACCCAAAAAGGGATAATGACAGAATTCATATTCCTCTACAGAAGCTTTCAAGACAGACTTTGCAATACTTAGGTGGAACACAGCTGTGGTCTCCTCATTTTCATAGTCCCTTTAGAGACCACACCCCATGTGATGGAGGACTAGAAATAAATCCAATTCACTCCATTCATCTGTGCTTTTGTCCATGTGCTCCCTGAAATGTGTATATCATTATATATATTATATATATAACGATATTCACATTTCACCTTTTTTAAACTAGCCACTTCTTACCAACCAATTAGTTCACTCATGTCACAGTTCAGTGTTTGTTGTATCCAAACATCCTCCACACGCAATTTCATGTAGAATTTGATCTGAACACTCCAGTAGGTCAGTACATTGTCTATACAGCAGAAGAGCAAGTACATACAAGAGCAAGTAACTGCTTGAATGATCAGGCCATACATTCTTAGCAAAATGGCATTTCTTTAAGTGTGAAAAATGAAACCTGTTTCGTAAGAAACACAGGAAAGATAAGTTAGTTAAGGTGTAGACATCTTTTGTCTTTCTTTGACCTTTCGATATTTAAGCTTGGAATTTCAGTGTTCCCTTGATAGAATCTTTTTATGAAACAATAGGAAAAGAAAAACGAATACTTTATATGGTCAGTCATACCCCCCAAAAGACTACCCAAAACCCAAGAAATAGAGATTTTTTTTTTTTCCTGGCATTATTCTTCTTCTGGAGGTGGAGACAGAGATAGGGGGAGAGAGAAAGGAAAAAGGTGACAAGGGGTGGAGAGAGAAAGGTGTGTGTATGTAGCATTATGGGAAAAAAAATGATTCAAAATACTGGCTCTTTTTATAAACAATGACGACAAAAAATAATGAATTTGACCAAGAATTTGACAGTCTTTCACCTCACAGAAAGAAACACAATTGTAGCACTTTTCATCTATTCAAACTGGGAGTAGAAGGTGTACTTTTTAGCAGAGAGGGTCAGACACAACTGAAACAATTTGCCTAAGGACATGGTACACTATCTTTCATCTTCAGTCTGTGTGTGAAGGTTGAATTTCTAAAAACTAAACAGATATTACAAGTGTCGAGTAGAAACCAAAGGATGATTTTTTTTTTTTTTTGGGTACATATCCTACAGGAAATCAAACCGCCTGAACACCATGGTCTTTTCCAATCTCAAAAATTCAAGAATGATTCCAGGTCTCAGGCTGGGGCTCCAAACAAATCCTTCAACATGTGCATGGGTCACGCTGTCACCCTCCATCTCTGTTCCTTCGTGTCCACACTGATTTCTGCCTTTGCCCAGTCTGCCACTTCTAATAAGGAATTTCTTAGTGTTTGAGGAGCTGGGCAGGTAGGGGAAGGTATCTTAGAGACGGTTCATCCCTCTTCAGGTGGGCTACAGTGTATTTGGGATAATGTACCCAAAAGCAGTCTGGCACCTTTGTTACTGCTCCTTATAAAATGTACAGCAAGATATATTAATTTCTATTTAGGAAAAACATAAAATAATTTATCTGTTTATTTTGAAGGTATTTGGAATTCGCTGGGGAATGCAGGAATCATCAGGACAGGAGCCTATATGCTTCAGGGTGATACAGAAAGGCAAATTTTCACAGTACTGGCAATGATGTGGTACAGAGATGGTTGGAAAGTGCAAGGGTTGGAGGCAGGCTGAGAGACTGCTCGTCTACCAGTTGCAAAACTTTCCCTGCTGTCTGGTTCTAGATGAGCAGTATGTGGTCTACCCTTTTCATCCTTTTCATCGTACAGAACCTCATGATTTTTTTTCCATTCGCATATGACAGCTCGTTCATTCTGACCTTGTTAACTTACTCATCTGATGTCTTCCTTCCTCACTAAAGTCAAGCTTTACGTCCAGCATGCACAGCAATCACTGATCCCAGGAAGAAAGTCTCAAGCGCAAATGAACATCTATACTTCAGTCTAACACGCATTGTATTGCCACAACAATCCTGAATCTAGTTTAACACCCTTGAAGCAAGATATATTTGAAAGGAGAAATCTGAAGTATCCAGCTATAAAGAGAGATGCCTGTAGTTGGTTGTAAAAGCATTATTTGATAACTCAGAAGCCAGGAGGGATGAAGAAAGGTATTTTTCCTACTTGTTGATGGAGGCAAGGAAAAAAGTTACCTTTCTTCTAAAAATTAATCAAAACAGCTTTCGAGGTGAGACAAATATGAAAACTATGATCTTAGCACACAAGATAAAAGCCTTTTCACTGCAGTTATTTGTTAGCTCTTTGTTCCTTGACTTAATTGCCCCACGCAGCTTACACAGCAGACCTTTTGGAGATTAACATCTCTTCTTCAGCTACAATAATGTTGTATCAGAACAGAATTGGTTTGCATATTTAGTGATTAAAAAATTAGTATATAGCTAGCTACTTCATTAGTGGAAGTACTACTATATTGCTAGCCTTCAGGGAATATTTTTAACACCTAATAAAACACATGATAAAAATGCAGGCAAACAAGTCAATTCTTCTCAAAGCAGGTACCATATCCAACAGTGTCAGACTGAAATTACACGCATTAATTTTGGAGTGTGGAATGAACGCAGGGTCTTTGTAACAAACCCTGAAAATTATTAGCAGGTCAATACATTGTTGCCTAAAAAGTTATCATGGAGTGGGACATTTCATAAGTCCCAACCTAAAGACCATAACCATACACTTTAAAGGTCTGAATGGAAATTTATACTGTTCCAAGTGTCCTTTTGAATGATGACTTCTAAGAAAAATTAGTGACTTGGATGACTGGTTGTATTCCACAGTATTCAGCAAATCTGTCACTTGGATCTATTCTGTACTGGGACGTGCTACTTAGCATCTGAGATTCTGGTTTTGTGAGCTTTACAGGGGAAAAAAAATAGTAGCACGTACGTTGGTAATGACATGCTCCATTACAGAGTAAAATGTCCAGAGTGCACTCATTTCAAGAAAATGAAACGTAAATGTACAAAGCACATAGGAAATCCATTTCAACACTTAATCAAATTCAGTGGGATCAAACCTTGATACTCCTCTTAAGAAAGAAAAGAGTTTTTATCCCAGCATGAGAGAATGGATGGTCACTTTTGTTTAAAGATTTTTTGACAGAGCCCTCCTTCCCATCAGTCACTGCAATTAGACCTTTTTTTTTTTTAAAAATCCTTCCAGTCTCCCTCAGAGTTGTGGATTTCCCCATTGTGTAAGCCTGATAAGTGCTCAACATCTCACGCGAATCATGCTTAACTCCAATCCATGCCAGGAGGCTCTCGCACTCTTACAGGATGACTGTTTTTGCTGGCACCCCATCAGGCAGCCAATGTTCTTGTCACAGAGGAGAAACCTTGCCATCCTTGTCAACAGAGACCCAGCTGCTGACAAGCCCATTAAGATGCCATGGCACGTTGTTCATCCCTGTCCTGTTTTTTAAATTCCTACTAGCACAGTCATAGGAACTACTTTCTTTCATGACTCAAAACAGAAAGCACTGGCATTACTGAAAGAATAAAATCTCCAGCATACCTGTTGAACAGTCTGAACCCGTCCACTGCGGTTCACAGCTGCAGAGTCCCGTGTCCAGGAGGAACGTCCCATGCCCCGAGCACTGCTCCTGGCACACGGGAAGCGACGTTTCACAGTTCACCCCGCCCCAGCCCGCGGAGCAGTGACATTCCCCTTGAACGCACACGCCGTGGCCAGAGCACATTGGATCCAAGCAGTCCTCTGGAAAGCAGGGAATATACAATTTAGCATAAAACTACCACCTTAACTGTGGTTTCCTAGTGAAATACAGCATCAGGGATTTAGATTAATTTGGTGATTTTTGTGCAAAAACCCAAACTGAAAGGATGTTAACAAACACAAGGAAAAAACAGCCCATGTTAACATCTGTGCAAAAGTATCAGCCAAAAACGAGAAAAAAAGGCATGCATGTAGACTTTCAGAGATCATATAATTCTGCTCATCAAGGATATTGTCTTAGTTTTAAAATACAGATTCCCATGACAGATCTATTAGTCCAAGTTGGTGAAGTTTGTGCTTCAGCAGCAAGGCTGGGAAAGAACTGGAACAATTAATAATTACTTCTACAATTGTGCATTGTGTTTCCATTTGGGTATTTGTGTTCTGTGTTTTATTTACATCTGGCAAAAGAAAGATTTATTCTTTCATCTTCCTGGGGAAAGCTATCTCTACAGCAGAAAATTTGATTAAAAAAAAAAAAAAAAAAAAGGCCATCCACTAACCCAGAGTAGTGAATCTCTGACTGAATGCTTGCTGTAAAAAAAAAATCTCATACACTCATAAAAAGTATGTGCTGGGCAATTGCAGATAATGAACAGATTCATAAAAGTTATAACGTACTGATGAACAATTTGCAAACAGACAAAGAGCTAAATTTGTTCTCAATTTGGATTAAACTATTCCTAGTGAAAAATTCAGGAGCTCTGTAGAAGAATTTAAATCAGCTGGTTAGTCCTGTATAATCAGCATATTCTTTCATAAAGCCCCAGCATTTCCTTAACGAGACAGATTTCAAGCAGAACACAGCCTGCCTTCTCTGGAGGCTGCAGAGCTGGAGGGGAATCTGTGGGGTCCGAGCATGGGAAACAATTAGCCAAAAGCCTGTTCGTGTTAGATCAGGCTTCAGACTAATGTTAAAGGGGCACTTAGAAAGTTCTTGTATGTATTTTTCAAGTATCAGGACAAGTACTGTTTAAAAATTATATTAAAAACTTAAAGAGAATTCTGTGCCACACAAACGGAGAGATGCTCTTTGCTCCAGGAAGGGAGGACTAAACACTTCAGACGTAGAGATTTACAGCCTCCAGTTTATAGGACCTTTTGGCCTGAGAAAAAAGAAGTGATGCTTTATCTTTTGAGCTGCTACGATCTTCTTTCAAGATTTATGTTGTACCTTTTCCAGCCTTCCAGGCTTGTGCACAGCACAATGTAATTCTGACAGAGGGGGATGAGTGTTTCTGGACAACGCCTATCTTGCTAAGCACAGGACAAAAATAGTTGGCATTTTTTTCTCATCCTGAGACAGCTCTTTATTTTGCTGATCTTTTAAAATTAATTGAGTTTTAAAAGCATCACTTTTGTAACGATAATCTGACAGGACAAATTCCAAGCGCTCCCATAGCAATGAACACATGTAGCTACTGGTGTTCCCTGGATGGTACATCTGTTACTGTGTCTGCTATGTCAGCAACACTGCTATAACACTAAACTCATATTTATGTACAACTATGTAATCTCAATTCCTGACAGAATTACTTCCGCTGCTGCACAAGTTACGTTGTACAACACAGTAAACTGACCAGTCATGTCATGCACAGACTGCTGCAATACAAACCCGCCGTACCTGGACGTGCACATTTGTTTCACCCACCCTATTTCTACAGAATTCCCCCTTTAAAAAAAAATTAAATGTCTCTTACTTTACAAATCCAATGTTTTCATACTTTTAGTTTCAATAGCTGTCTGAGTACATTTATCTCAATTATTTTTTTATCACATTATGGCAAGAAACAAAGCAACTGAAACCAGTGGTCAGCATCCCATCAGCTGCGGGCTTGTTTGGCATCACGGCCTCAGTGAGTAAATCTGTGTATTGCTCTGTCCCATTTGGACTTTCTTGGGTTTTGTCCATTTCTGAAACTACCAGCAACTGAGTATGTCAGAAGCATTGTCTTGATCCTCCCTTTAAAAACAATACCAGATATGTCAAATCCATCAAACCCATCCTGGACATTTTTCTGACTAGAGAATCCAAGCCCCATAAAGAGCCTCCTCTGTGTGCTACTCAAAAGAATTACCTGAAATCTAGATAGCAGGAAGCACACAGGATGCTGTCACTAGCTTCAGGCGAAGGGGACTAGTGAAAAATCATCAAATCAGGGCAGGCATGAAGAAGAGTTCTGCTTTCTGAGGCTATTCACAGGGGAAAAATGTCAAAGCTGATGAGCTATCTCAGAAATGCTAACAGGCAACACCAGCTGCTTCTTTCTACAGATGAGGGCAGAGACACATTGGTACCATAACCAGCAAAAGTACAGTTACTTGTTCTCAGAATTTCCACTTTTTTATTAGCCAAGCCTTAAAAGATGCTCGTTTAGTACCCTGAACACAGGCTTACAGTAAAAATGATGTATGACAACAGAATCACACAATCTGCTCTGGTAAACTGAAACTGTTTGCTGCTCTTTTGGCTTTATATTGTCGGTGTGTTCCTCACAGAAACATCTAAGAGGTAACAGAATGAAGAAAGGGAAAAACTGATTATGTTGTGCTGATTACTTTGGAGAACCGTCACATCATATTTTGTTTCCATGTTCTTCTAACTGTCTTACCCTCAAGCTTTTGGCCAAGTAAAAAATTCTGCACAGGCTCTCACAGCGTGTGTGAAGGGAGGAAGGGAGGGAGTTTACTGGGAGCAGGGAGGACTGGGGATGCCAGCCACCCTTCCTGAAAAAGGTATCTGGAGAAGAAAGGTGGAGACAAACAAATCAAGGCCATCTCACAACTTTCACAAAAAAAAAAAAAAAAAAAAAAAAATCTTTGCTTTGCTGCTGGGATGTTTTCCAGAAAACTTTTGGAGGATTGAGAATTTTGCTGAAAGGCAAAAACTTCCACGCGGTTCTGTTCTTGCTACTGAGATTCAATGGAGGGAGGGAACGAACTGAAAGAGAAACTGAGTATTTCAGAGGACTGCCCACACTGCAATTATTAGATAGTCTTGTTAGACAATGTTAAATAATTTTAATCTTGGAAATTACATGAACAGCTTCCACTGAGACTTTGCCTTTATGTTGGAGAATTTTCTACCTGAGCAGTACTTCCTATGAGAGAGTAAAGGCGCTTTAAGGAGAACAGTACTGCTTCCCAGGGAGCTTCTCACATCTGTGGGAGTTCTTAACTACCTTAAAAGAGCTTTGGAGATTAAAGACAAAAATCAAACCCTCTAACTATAGAGAGGGAAACTTCACAAACCTTCCTCACAAATCTCTCCTTTGTATCCAGGGACACAGATGCAGACGCCCATGATACAAGTGCCGTGGCCAAAGCAGGTTGGATCAATGCACTGTTCTTCTGGAACATCACACTCTGCTCCTTTCCACCCATTTCGACACACACAGTGACCTTTCTCATATTCTCCATTTCCACTGCACAGCACTGGACAGGAATCTGAGGAAGGCAGATTGACCTTTTTAATGTATTTACATACTTACATAGATTAACATTTATTGCATTTATCGTTCTGTAAAATTACTTTTCCACTCCAGCCCCCTGATCCTCCATTTGCTTCGAGGGTTGTGACAGGCTGAAATCTTTGAAGTAGGTAGTGCAGCAGTAATACAATGTCCTCGTCTCCTTGGTCTGCCCCACTAGTATACCTTAATTTTATTTGAAATGGGATATCTTAGAAGATAAAAATAGGTCCCTCCCCTTGACTGGCCTCTGCAGAAAATTTGCAGTGATATCCACTTATGATTTTCAGTAAGATTAATATTTCTTCCGTGTGAACTGAAGCAAGACACTGCCCTTTTCTTCATTCTTCTAAGCAAACTTAACCTTACTGAAGTCTAGGCCATTACTGATCTGTATGTAAACCAGAGATGTGGAGCTTAATTTTACAATCCAGTATCAATTTCTGAACCAATCGAGCTTTTAAAAAAATGTAGTCAATCCTAAATTTGAGCAAACATTGGGAAAACATGAGAACTTCCAGACATCATATGCAGCAGATGATGGATAACACTGACAGAAATGTCTGAAACAGAAATAAGCTCACTTACAATCTAGCATGGGTTTTGCCCCAGTGCTGGAAAACAGCCTCTAAGCTGCGTTAGGTGTCTTTACTACCCCCTATTCAAGTCAAGGCCACAGAAGCATTTGACTTACTTATGCAATTTTCTCTGAACTGGAGCTGCTTGTCACTTTTAAATAACGGAAAACATTATGCTAAGCTAACACACTTATTAAAAAATGTATTTTATAATCACAGAGCAGATTCAAAGAGGGATGGAGGCATCTATTAACTCTGAAAGTCAGGGAGAGAGAAGTGGTTGATGCATCTTAGCTCAAGTACAGCATAAAGAAACTTTCTATGTGTGTGCTTCTGCTGTATCTGCTATCTGGCTGGAAAAAGGAATTTACTCTCCTTTAATCACTCTGAATCTTTGCGAGCCCAGCAGCCACACACCATAATCACGATCCCTGTCATGCACTGCAAGTCAGTTAATACGAGATTACCTTTTGCACAATCAGGACCAAGGAATCCCGGGAAGCAGTGGCAGTGCCCCGAGATACATTCGCCGTTCCCGTTGCAATTAGTAGAGCAGTCATCCAGGACTTCTGTTTATTCAGAGAGTCGTGCACAAAGGAAAACACAAATGGGTTGAATTTGAAATGAATGGCATCTTCCCCTCACTCTGCAGGACACATCTCAACATACAAATAGGTGCAGAAGTAGTAAAAGGCTTTTTCCTTCATAGTGAGCATAAAACAAAATTCCTGCTCAAGCAGCTTACAAATATTAGATTTTGTCTTGACAGCTTTGAGATAACAAGTGCATCATTTATATTACACCGAAAAGCTTTTAAAGTAAGTGTTTATGTAAAATTCACCACCATTAAAAGCACTGCAAAAACCAGAGTATTTGCTGAAAAATATCCACCTTAAACACTTTCTTTTATTGCTGAAGTAATTTGTTTGAAACCCGTTGATGGAGTAAATTGCCTTGTATGGTGTTCGCTTGAGCCATGTGGATTGAATACCTCGGAGGAGGGTAGGATTTCCACTTCTATACAATCAGATGAAAACAAAATCATCTTTTGCATCGTGAGGAAACTCAATGCAATAAAGGACTACAAACTAGATTTGAAAAAAAAACCCAACAAAACACCTTCAATTCTGATCTTAACCTTGCCCATGTTTCATCACACAGCTTCGGATAATAAGCCACTTAACCTCGTACATCTGGGGACAGGCTCATATCCGTGCATGGATTAGCTGTTTTCAATTTACACATATATTTCCTACAGGAATTCAGTGGATTCACTGATTTATAGAGGTTTGATATAAAGAATATGAAGCAAATCCACGGCTAAGATGCTCCGCTGCAGAGCAGGTCACTGTCACACCAGCACTAGGGCTGAGGTCTCTGCAGCCCAGGCGGGTGCTGTGCAGGACAGAGAGGGGCTGCAGAACGGTGGGAACCGGGACTGTCCGATGGGCACCTGCACTAACAGATGTGGGATAGTACCTCAGCTATAGGAAGACAGGAGACGTGACTCCTCTCTCACAGAATAATAACTGTTGGGGGAAAAGAAGAAAATCCAGATCCTTTTGAAGACTATCTATTCACAGAAAGTGATTTGGGAGGAAAACCTTTTTCTCAAGAAAGGGCATACCACTGGAATATTTAACCTAATCAAATCTAATATACTTTTAAACTCAAATGTAACTTGTCAAAAGATGGATTATAAGCACATCCTACAACTAATACGAATAACTGAAATAAGTTTATTTTGATATTATTTATGAGCACTTGGACGGATAAGGATTGGTTCCTCTTGAAAACTCCAAATATTATTATATTTGGTTTCTGATTTGGACTGGAGTTTGGCCAGGTTTTATGCTCTTTATAGAGCATCAGCAAAGATGCCTTATAAATTGCTTGAATAAGATTTTCTCATACAACACTGAATTTTCTTGCTTGTAGAAGCTTCACTTCTCTGAACAGAGCAAATATGAACTTTTAAACCAAAACCAGTCATTACATTTCTAACTCAATTTCTAAATTATTTTCCTGCAAGTCCTTCAACATCTTGGTATTTGAATCATACTGTCCTCCTCTGCAAGGTGTTTACCATCAAGTAAAAATAGCATCCAATTGTTCAAAAGACCAGATGGCATGTCCATTACTAGTAAAGACATGTTGCTAAACATATGGTAGAACAGGTTAACTAAAGGGCATAGTGGTTAAAGTCTTGCAGCAAACCGAGACAGTCATAAATACAACACTTCACTTACATTTAAATTCCAAAGAAACCCTGCGTATGAGCACTGCTCACTAACAACACCTACAGTTGCAAACATTTGTCCATCTCTATATATTAAAAAGGCCGTAAGGACCTGACGTGCCACCAGGACACTGTCTCCTATATTTGCCTTCTGCGTTACAAACAAAATGGTGCATTCGAATAACTGCATAAACCAGCAGGACCCATTCATCAAACAACAATCACAACCAAATCCACAAAAGCTGCCTTTTAAATTTTCTAACGGACTAAAATACTGGAAATAAGAATGTAAAGCCTGGATAATTTTGTCGGATTTATGGTTCTCATGTCAATAGAGAGGGCAGACATAATCTCTTTTACTTTAAGCAAGAGAACGCCAGAGATTACTCAAGCATTTAAGCTACCGTGCAAAATCTTAACACACATGAAAACTTCACACTTAATTAATTTGATAACATCCATCTTTAATACACAAATGCTGGCATTTGTCTAATATTGGCATAAACATCAATTTGCTCTACTGAGGTTAATTAAACTAAGCTGAAATAAAACATATTTAAGAGAATACTCACAAGAAGCCAGAACCAAGGTCAATAATTTCTTTTCAATTGCAGCTTTCCAATGTAATAATCAAAATGACAATTTTATTGTAATTGTTCTTACCAATTGCTGTAGTTAGTACAAACACTTGCTCCACTTTCTTTCCATCGTTGTAGAATGCCATATGCCAAGCTCCTTGATCCATATACTCAATGAAACCTGTCTCTTGCAGTGAAGTTAAAATCAGATTCCTGGGAGCTTGCTGAGGCTCCTCGGAGTTTTTTGGTTCCTGTTTAATTAACTGTTTTCCATCCATCAGTTTTACAAAATCAAACTGAAATAATAATGAGCAAAAATTAACCACTTAGCAAATTTTTATGAATCTGCTCTGCATGTCTCATTCAAACAGGAATAAACTGTTGAAATCTTCAGAGGAATTGCTTGACTGACTAAATATTCACCAATGTGGACAGGAGTTGCATAACTTAGTCTATTCAGCATCAGTTTCCATATAAAAAGCACTATGGTAGGTCAGAAACATGGCATAAAAACTTGCTGTTTGCTATGGCAGGGTAAATCCAGACTTGCTGCGCTAAATACAACAGATTTATTTCAAAAACTACATGTCTAATGGGAATAATTCCAAAAATCCCAAGCTGTAGTGCCTATATTATGCAGTGATTAATCTCAAATGCCAGGAGCAGATTAAAGAACCTATTGTTCTATACCAGATTGTTAAATATTTGTCCCTTAATATCAATACTGTATATCAAAACCTAAATACACTTTTAATGTTTATTTAATTTTATTAATGCAAATAAGTATCTATTTTTTACATGGAAGTTCTTAATACCTAACCAAGTTGCTGCTGACAGCTTTAAGACCAGTTAACCTCAAAGCATCAGAGATATAAAACTTTCTATGAATCCCTGCTCAAGAAATATACGTATTTCTCTAGGTTTTCCTAGGCATTCTGATTTTCAGTAGACTCCAACTTCAGCTCAGCTAAAGACTTAGCTTCAATTAAAGTCAATGACAGCTAAAAGTGCTTATTTCTAAGGTCAAAACTCTAGCAAATAACTTTTGAGGTTAGACTAGATGCTCTCCAGAGGTCCCTTCAAGACAATCTTTCCATGATTCCATATATAAGTTTATCACACTCTATGGAGTATGATCCTGGTATAAGAAAGCTGAAAAATCTATTATCCTTAGAAACGACTGCTTCATATGCCAAATACATTAAGCCTAAAAAAAAAAAAAAGTTGAACATGACCAGCAATGTCACATATTCTTACTGCTTAGCTAGGTTTTCTCTTGCAAAATCCCTAGAGTAAGCTCTCAAAAATAATCTTCATATTAGAAACCAGAAACAGCCTTTTTTTCTTTTTCCCTCCTATTAACTCCTTATACTATGTAATCTGTTTTGATGAAGTCATAAAAAGATCAGAGCATTTCCAAATGATCTGGTATTTCACCCCACTGCCCCTGCAAAGAAGATGCCGGAGCTACACAGCAGCGCCGTGTGGACCTGCCCAGCCTCCCGGACAGTCCCATCCCAGTGGTCACAGCGGTGACCTTTCTGATACGACACTGTCCCTTCTTCTGAGAGAGCATGGTTTTGAGCTAGACCTCAATAAAAGAGCCTGCTCTTTGTGGTTACCGCCAGTCCCTTCCTCCCTCCCTGCTTTGGCAGTACACAGTGAACATTTGCATCCACTGCTGTATGAAAATGGCAGCGTGATAGAATCAGCGTTATTCCTAATTACCTGAGTGTGAGTAGGTGGAATGTTTCTTCGGCCATAAATTCCCAGCAGAGAATCCTTTGCCAGCGAAATGTTAAATTTCAGGTACACGGGGTGATGGATAGTAATCTGAAAGCGCCAGAATAAACCAGGGGGGATCGTCTGCATAACTTGTGCTCCAATCTCCACTTCTCCTGTGTCTATGGCCCGTCCCTTCTGAAACACTGATTTTCCAGAAACAAACAAAACAAATCAGTTGAGTATTCATGGGGGTAAAGATAATATCTCATGAGCTATAAACGTGCCTTAGATATATTGGAATACACTGAAAACAACCTCTAAATAGAGGGTGTTTCACTGAAACAATTGAATTTTTTATTCAACTGGTTGAAAAACACAACTAAACTTGCATGCAGTATGTATGACAACAGGCGTCACAGAGCATTTTTGCCCTGGAAATCTTGAAACATTTCAGCAAATATAAAAAGGTAGAAGTGCTGCTGAGTAGACCACGGTCTTTACCTATCAGCTATGCAAACAAACCCCCTTCAGCTGACAATGCACCGAGAGAAGGCAGCAGGAGAGCTTCCTCTGGCACGTATTTCAGACTACCGCTGAGGAGGCATTGCATAAGCTGCACAAACGGACACCAGTGAGGACAGAAAATCCATCAAACCTGGCAGGTCAGAGCCCACGTCCAAGCCTAGATTTCTATTAATCACCATTCCTAATGATTTTATTATGGTAGTGATAATCTAGTCCTGGAGAAATAAAGAACATCTCTTTTGGCTTGGACGTCCCGCACAAAGGCGTAACGGGGGCATGAGGATAGGGACAGGCAATCTAAAGAGAAAACTGGCATCATTTCCTAATGCCTACCGATAAATCTGCACCTAACTACAGTACAGAACTTCACACATGGGTATGAGAGAGCTGAAACAGAAAGGGAAATGGAATGCATAAAGAAGACATTGCCAAACTAAATTGGAGCTGGCTTGCTTTGCTGGCTTATGTCACCATCTCTGTATTTTAACGCCTGCCTGTGACAAGCATCGTGACATGCTGCAAATCACAGACCCAACCCTGCTAACATCTGAGCTGATTCCATTGTAAGTTTTGCAAAACTCTAACTCGCATTTCCGTACTTTCTCTCACCTAGAAAAAAAAAAGCAGGATAATCTGCTGCACTGGAGGAAGAGTCGAGAGAAGACTGAATTCAGCAGCTGTACCCATTTATGTGTCAATCCATTCCAGCATCACAGTGAAGGATATAGAGGAGCAATCAAAGTGACTGGAGCCTCGCCTTGTACAATAATGCATATAAATATCTAATGCAACATAATGTACATGAAATTTTATAAATTGCCATTGGAAATTAAAACAGCAGTAGCAAAGCTTGGGCCAGCTTTTTCCCGAACATATTAATAACAAAGACCCTCAGTGGGATCTTACATAGGCTTTAACTGGCGTAGGAAGTACTTAGCACCCTTAATGAATAGAGATTTAATTTACAAGGCAGGAGCAATTCTCAGGGTACTGGATCTTCCAGCTTTACAGCCGCTTCTTTTCACCAAACCTACAGCAAGAACTAGGAGCTGACTTTTAACACCTTATCACATAAAAACATCTATTTTCAGATCACAGAACTCATAATACTCTAAAAATGGACCCGTTAGCTAGTGAGTTAAAATATTTCCAAACTGCTGCTTTAACATTGCTCAAGGTGAGACTACTTCTGTCCAGTTTGCTTCATGGAAAATATCTTGACTGTTGAGATTTCAAGAGAATTAAACTTCCTATGTGGGGCAACACAAGTGGATCCCTTCCCACCCCAACCCATCCAAGATCCTACTCAGCTGATGTAAATTTAAAACCCTTCTCCTCTATTTCCAGTACTCCAGAGATATTAAATCTTAATGATTCTTTGCAAGCAATTACCCCGGGTTAAGTAAAACACTAAGGAACTTTTTGGTGATATTGACACATAGTAATTAATGAGATTCAATTACAAGACAGTAGAGCACTGAGTAAAAAGTCAAGGATACAGTATCATTTTTGAAGTTAATGGTGTTATTGGTGGGTGTTCAAGGTCCTTTAATATGCAGGAACTGCTTCTTAGTTTGTTAAAATGAGAAGGCCTGTTTCTTTGTTGGAAATAAAAAGCATTATGTCTTTAATCAGGGAGTATTTTCACTAATTGATGTTATCAAATTACGCTGAATAGAGAGTGTTGCTAGGCTCAAAACAACGTATCTCTCAGTTTTTCCCCATTTGGCTGAAAATATCTTTGCTTTAGCAATAATTTTACGTAACCTTTAAAAAAACAGATGCACTTAGATTTACCTTTGTCTCATTAGACAGGAAAGAAGCGCATACTGCTGTTCACAACGGTAACATGAAATTATAGGTATTATCTACCACCTACAGAAAGTATGCAGTTGCAGTATCTCTGCCTTCAAACACAGTTTTTTCAGACAACCACACAGCATGAAAAGGCTAATGTAAGAGCCACGTCTGAAGTGCATGTTTCCATATTCATTGAGCCACAAGCCTTTCTTTATAGAAAAAGAATTTATCTCTGTTTCTATGCTTAATTGAACTAAGCAGGTCATTGGCTGTACAAAAAAGGCATCTGAAGACACATTATTTACAGACTATCCTCGTATACTTCCTCACTCTGTCTTGAAAAAGTCTGAAATAAGCTTTTAAAATTACAGTGCTGCCATACAAGTTCTGCTCTTAAAACACCTTTCTCATAACAACATTCTTCTTATGACAAAGTATCGTTTATTTATCTATATTCAATTCCTTTTACAGCTCCCAATCTTGCCAGCTGGTATTAATTCTTTCCTACTCTTTCTAAACACACTTTCCTTACAAGTCTAAAACAGAAGATAGACTCCTAATCACAGGTTTCTCTTGGCTTCAAGAAACTAAAACTCGCAACAGCATGGTGCCAATTATCTTCACAAGAAAGTCCCCATATGCTGATTATTACTGATCCTGAAATAATCAATCTCCTTGTACTCCCCTGGTAAATACCAGCATCTTTAGGACGTCTGAGGTTTTACTCACATTACTACATATTAAAAAGTTAACTCAGCTGTGGGTCAATGTGTTATAAAGTGACTTCTTAAAGAAATCTGACTTGCTGGCTTGTAAACTTGATTGTCATTAAAAGATTAGTTAAAACATAGACTTTCAAAGTCTGGAAAAGCATTCTGTGTTGCTGCATTGAGTTGGGAAAATGGGAACTCACAATATCTGACAGTGGTTATTTATCCCTGTGAAATCAGATCAGAGGCTTCAAGTTTACAGGCAAAGTATCAACTTTCTGTGGTATCCTGCTGTAGTGAAAGGAGTTGCCTGTTTCCAAATCCTCCTTCCCAGTACATCTACATAGACAACTCGTTACAAGCACTGGGAATAAAATTACTGATATATATTAAAAGTAATGGAAAGAAATAAAACCAGCAAAAATTAACCACAGCCAGGCTATACATGTACTAGTGCCTGGTACTCAGTCCACATTTTTCTTGTGTTTTCCCAAGTGGATACTCCTTGTTAGCATACACTCTGGATTACAGGTTACCCTGAAAAGGTGACAGTGAACAAGTGGGACAACAGCCTAGCTGTTTTCAAGCCTGACCTCTGAAACTGCTGGATAAGCCCCTAGTGAAGGGGCTCTGCTGTCGTAGCCCTCCGTGCTTTAGCGCTGCAGGGGAACTGCACAGCTGCACAAGACACTGGGACTGCCTGGGGCAAGGCAGGGGGTTTGGTTTTTTACCTACTAAACTGAGTGTCTATTGACTCACATATCCTTTTCTCTGTTTTCAAGCATCTGATTTTTAATGTTTTTCCTGCACATTCTCCTTTGGAAGCCAAATGTTCTTGGAAGACCTTTTATTAAATCTGCAATATATTGACAAAATGCTTTAACACAGTTGAGGAGAACTATTTGAGATATTTTCCATGGTGCACCAGGACAAAAATAAAAAAACATATAAAATATTTACTGCAATTCAGTACCAATCCATTCTACAGGACAAAATAATGGATAACAGCATCATTGTCTCCTTACATATATTTCTATTGCTCGTTTATCTAATATGATCCCTATCCAGTTGTGTCACATTGATTTGTAAGACTATTGATGCGAGATGTAATCTTCCTTCTGGAGGGACTGGTACAACAATGTTCCACCTTGTCTCATATTTACAGCCATGGATCTTACCTGGCATACACAAAATCAGATCACTGCTCTGCTCTAAAATTTGAAAGCTCTGGAAATCTCCTATCGTTGCAGAGCTCTCGCTACAATTTTACCTTCCTCCCAACAACTGTAAAGACTAGGGTTCTTCTTCTGCTCCCACTCACTCTTCTCTGATCTATCATGATTTATCCACTTTTTCTGAGTGTCACAAAAAGAAATGGGAGGGCCATCTGCTTCCTACAGTCAGAATGCATCGCCATGGTGGTCAATGGGAAGCATGGGCCAGAGGTTGTAACTAATATTGGAGGAGGTGACCTAGCAACATTTAATGACAGGACTTGAGAGAAAGGAATCGCGCATCTCTGAGACAGCCCTGCTCTCTGTTTCACACTCCTGGCTGCACTGTCTACTCCTTTCCTATGCCAGCTCTGGCACTTCTCTGTCACTTCAAAAGAGCTGATACAGCCACTCAATGGCAGAAGCCTATTCACATTTTTTAATGAAGCTATTTTCTGCTGCCACAGTGAACTGACGTGTCTTGGTCGTGCATGAGACAATCCCTGCAGCGGGCACGGGGACGCAGGGAGCGGCTCAGGGCGGGAGCAGGGGCAGAGCAGGGAGCTGCCAGACCTGCTCAGGCGTTTTGTGAAACCTCAGTAGATTCCTGGGAGCTGATTCACTACGAGTGGTTAAGCCAGGATGTGACAGGATGTTGTATTTTAGCTTATGCCTTCAAGAACTGGATGCCTTTAAAAGCATTAAGATTTCTACCCTTCTGCATATTCTGACCTGTCGGTACAAAGCTTCTGCCTGAGATTGACGTTGGTCTGCAAGACAGGCACAGCATCAAGCCCTTGCACAAATGGGAACAAGGCAAATACGATCTCACCTCCTGTCTTAAGACAGCCAAACGCTCTGATTTCACAAAAGAAGGGTGATTATGTTGCTACTGAACATTACCTTCCTAACGGCCTGGGTCGGTGGCTAATTTCAGTGAGAGTTCTGCTGAAGGAAACAATCTCGTTATGGGCTTTTCATACTTATTTTAAAATTTTACTAGAGAAGACAGAACCCAAGCTCAAAATATTGTCAAAGTGTAGCAAATACAAAATCTGAACAGTCGGAATGTTTAAATATTCGTAATCTGTCTTCTCATTCACACATACCTTTTTTTTCCATTTTATCAGAAACTTTTCCTCCGATTGGTGAGTAAGTAGTATCCATGGATTCTGTTCCTTTATTTCCTTTGCTAACTCCATTTTCATAGAGCTGCCCTTCAACAGGCTGTAGCTGCCAGGTTAAACCAAATAAGTGTACTGCTGCAAAAAAACGAAGACCAATTAATTGATGTCTAAGCTACAGCACCTTCAGTCAGACTAGGAAAGAATGTTATGACCCAGTTTCTGCAAAGTCAAATATTACTTCGTTCCGTTAGTAATAAGTCAGGATTTCAGGGCGTCTAATGAGCAATTTAGTATTTTACCTTAAAACTCAATGTTTAATTAGTTTCCACACTTCTTTTGGAGTTCGGCCAGGTCAGGGTGATGAATTTCTACAGCAATTAATGGATATACTTGCAATTAAAAGGATAACAGTTGAATGAAATTAATATTGTGTGACACATCGTAATGCTACACCAATGTTGTCCCTCAGCTTTCAACTGTCAAAGAGCCCAGAGTTTGTTGATTAAAGCACTGCCACCAAGTAAAACTTCTTCCCTTTCCAAACCAGTTCTAAGTGAAACTGTGCCAACCGTATTCCCAAACCTTTCCACTTAGGTTAAACATTAGAAAAAACACCAACTCCATAGATTCACTCTAGAATTACACCACAGATAAAAAAAATGTCTCTAGATTTCAAATATGTGCTATTATTCTGCAACACATATTAACAGAAATAAAGTTATTATTTATGTATCCACTGGGAAATGCACTAAATTAATCCTTTTATGGAGTTATTAACTATCCTTATTACCATACATGGGGGCTGCCTACTTCACTTCACCTACACAGTCATTCCCCTCTTCTGCCCTCCTTTCTGTTGTTTCTGATCTGAGGCATCGAAGGATGGTAGGAGAAAGACAACAGAGGATCTTATTTTAAGCATAGTACAAGAGTACTGCAGACTTTCTAGACAATTATCTAGGTCTTGCTGAGGAGGGCAAAGTCTTTCAAGGAAGAGGTTGCCTTAGCATTGAAGTAACTCAGCAGGAGAGACTGATGACCCACTGAAATATGGATTGAGGATACCCCCCGCAGAGGAGCTGGAATTGTCACACAAAGAGCAAAACCCGCATAGCAGGCTCTTACATGCAGCAATTTGCACTGAGTAGGATCTGCCCACAGTGGGAGCCCAAAAGGCAAGATATTTGCTGTTCCTGAGTCGTGTGGGAACCTCAGAGACTCTCAGAACTGTGATCTAGAATGGGTCTTGTATTTAGAAAGTACACTGTTTTCTTCTGCACTTCTGCACTTCAAGGAAAAAAAATCTCAATACAAATAAGAAACCTAGACTCTATTATCTGTTTTCTATGTGTTTGCTCACAAGCCTCCCTTGCATGCTGAGAAGTTAAATTATAGAGCAAAACCCATGCCTTCATTGGGTTCCTGGCAAGCTCTTTTTTGGAATGCAAAGCTGCCAATCTACAACCATTAATTCCAGACCCGTGCACTCCTGGATCACCCAGTCACAGACACATGATCCAAATCAAGCAAATGAGAGCATTTCTATCGAATTAGTGAGCTGACAGTATTTGTGACACCTTTGTATTTTTTATATTGGCTTCAGCAGAAGAGAGCCAAAAGTACTGAATTCTCAAACCACTGCTTCGCCATTGGATGTGGGCTCTGGAGACACACCACTGGGCAGGAAATTCCCACCCTCCAGAGGAGATACCAGAAGCTTACTCCAGTGTTAAGTGGTGAGATCTCAAGCCAGAGACTTGCCTAGATTACTTCATATTCTATGGACTTGAAATTGCCAAGGGACCATGCTAATACTTTGAAAAGGGTCTTGCAGGCAGATCACACAGACCTAAGCTCTGATCTTTGAGCTTATTAATGCAAGACAGATAACTACTACTCACAGAAGGTACAACAAAAATCAACACACTTTGACAGGCAACTCTGGCTGCTGGCTTGAGCTTCTGGACATTATTATGATTTAAAGAGTTAATAACAACAAAAAGGAACAAAGTTCAATGGGATTGATAACTAATGAATGTACATTTCATTTATACTAATGCAAATAATTATACCAGCACTTGAAAAAGACCAACACTGGATGCAAAACATAACTGCAGACATCAATAAGCTCTTGCTGGTTACAGAATCATGAACATAATCTAGTTGCTTTCTTATGCTATTTGCATTGCTGCTATTATTAATTTCCTAAGACAGCATTTGGACGTGCTGCAGAGGGTACGTCACAAATCAAGCGCTGAATATGTAATGCACCTTCTTCCTTACTGTATGGCTTTTCCAGATTACATACATTATTCATTCTGACACCCATTCACACCAATCTGAATAGTTTGCTTGCTTTGTCTTCCTTCAGACTGGGGAAGTGCTGTTGTTTTTGTAGTTGGTGCCAAAGCTTGGCAAGCTCGCAAAACTGTTAGTGTGGATGTTTGACAGTCAGTTTCCTCCCTGAGAAACACCAACTGCATTGTAGGGATCATGGTCTCTGCCAGCCTTGGACTTCTAGTCCGTGAGAGATGACATAGGATACTGGTAGACCAGCTTCACGTTAAACAAAGTGCAAGACTAGACAACAAAGCACACTGCTATGAAAAGAAGGTCTACTTGACTCAAACTGAATGACTTCTGTCACTGCAGAAACCTGCTCATCTTGTAATCTTAAAATCAATCTGATTTTCATTACATTAGCTATAGCTCTTGAGAAATTACCTTCAGATCCAGGTATCACTCTGGAAACAACCAGACCACATACACCAGTAAAAAACATTAATTATTAGAAATGCCTTTTTCAGAAGTTAACTACAGGGAACAATAAATGTTTATTTAGCAGACACAGAGCCTTACCTTGTCTCTTTATTTTCTGTGATATTTTTCTTTTACCTAGGGTATACATAATTCCTACAAAGCCTTATTTCCTACAACATATGTACATCATGTTTTAAATATACAGATATTTCACCAAATAAGATTAAATAAAACTTTCAAATCTCTGTCTCTCAAATCTCTTTAGAGGTAAGTAGGCAAGTACTGAATTTCATTAAAAAGCTCAAAAGAACTTCTCTTTTGAGTTATTCTCTTTGATTTTTCTAGTGGATTTCTGGCTTTTGCTTTTCCCCTTTTACACAAAGGGGCACAAAAAAACATTGTGGAATTCCACAGTGGGCCACAACATCATTTCCTACAGCACAAATATATTTGTAAGATTCTCAGCTGTGTTACCCACGTGTAGTGTCCACAGACCAAGTAGAAGACGGCATAATCACTCTGTCCAACTTAGGACTGGACTGGGTAACAGGGAGAGAGATTCACTGTCTCTGCCCCTTCCTCAATATGCAGCCTTCCAGACTGGCTTTTACACAAGAAGACCTTGACTGCAGTACTCCTGCGGGCTGGCTGCGGACTAACAGTCCCAACCGCCACCATTATGACGAAAGATGCATCACTGGATGTAGCTCAAGCTCCCACAGAACACAAGACCCAGCCTTTGAGGCTTGATGACTACACTGGTATTACAGAAAAAGCTACTTCGGCTCTACCTACCTGGCATTCCAGAACAATTCTGCAAGCAGATACCCTGTATTTTGCAGCACCTAAAATACCTCAGCTACTGGTGGGGTGTGTAAGGTCACTGGCAAACTGCTGCAGTTTCAAGCAAAACCCAAGTCAATGGAGATTAAACAGCTTGTTAGCAGCATCAGTACACTTCACAATGGCAAATTTCATACTTTAAGATAGGAGAGGCTGCGGTGAGTCAGCAGGAGCATCAGCCCATCAGATCCCCTCATCTTGGCCTGACTGAGCCTCTTGCCTAAACCTCGAGTGCCAATATCCTCCCTGCTGGCAGCATCCGCGCCCCTTTACCCGGCATTCTTGACGTTCCAACTTGAATTCTCTGTTTCCTTGGTTCTTCCATCCTACTGCAAAGCTCATCTGAAAAGATATTATTTCTTGGCTTGCTTAAACCTCCAGTATTTTCCCTCCCCTATCCTTACATGATGACTTTGCTCTGTGTGATAATTTGTGAGCTGCATTCTGCCACGAGCAGAGCTGTACATTGCTTTCACAGAGGTGATCCGGAGGCAGGCAAATATATCTGAAGGCAAAGTTTGACCTTCTTTACATAATGTTTAGAGACAGAGCTTACATGATGGATGCCACCATACCTATATTTAATTTATATTTTATCAGATAACCCTGTTTAATTCAAAGTTTCAGATAAAACTGTAGCACAAAAGCCGACATACACTTTTTCCCCCCCTTTTTTTTTACAACATGCATTATGGATGTTATTGCAGATGCTAAATTTGGAAGAGCCTTTAGTCAGTGGAGCTAGAGACTGGAGGATGTCACAGAATTCTGGCGAAACTAACCTTCTTCAGTCACCCTGCCCTGGCCAGGCTGCATGGTGGAGGTGCTCAGGGTAACTCTCAGTGACGTCCCTCCTGAAGATTCTACTTGTAACACAGAGCTTTTATTGGCTAATTTATTACGCTTCTTAAGAAAAAAATAATTAGGTATAAATATAATTAGGTATAAAACAGATCTCTTGAAGAAGAAGACTGATTAAAGGCCATCTACCCTTCCCATAAATTTCCTTTACGGAACAAAGACACGAGAAGCTAGTGTGGCTTTACGCTGCGTAAGATACTGTCTCTATCCAGAGGCAGGTTTGTGGTTGCTTCACATTACTGCTGCAAGTGAAACCAGTTGGGCCTCATTTGGAACCAAAGCCTGGGTCTTAACCTCTGAAGTACACAGCCAGATTGCTTATTTTGTTCAACATTTAAATAAAACAAATTGACGCTTGCAGACAAACTAACTCAGTCCCAGCAATTCTGCAGCACGCTCGTTTACATATTCACAAATATAAAAGCATTTCTTTTCAGAACTCGCTTTGTAAACTGGATTAACCCGCCATCTGCTACGAAGCCAATGATCTAATTTAATTTATTCTTATCTACCTTCTGTGTAAGCACAGCTTGTCAACTCCTGTGCTACACGTTTGGCAGAATATGAATAAGAGGCTTGGCTCCAGTGCAAAAGAGACTCTCAGTAGTGAGGAGATGTCAAAAAAGTCCTGTGCACTAAGTACTTACCAACCTGCAAGACAAACTTCAGAG